ACTAAGAACTCCAATATCATACTTCTACTGGAACAGCAAAAGGAGAGTCACACTGTTGTTTGGGTTTGGGAAATTTGGAGGTGGGTATATCTATTCCTTAGACAAATTTCCAAATAACCTCCCAATTTTCAGGTCCACTATGTGTGTCTGTTTTAAGGTGCTTCCAATTCCTGAGCCTTACTAAGGTTTTAGAGGAAAATCAGCTAAATTCTTATTGACTTCTTCCTTGAGGGACATTTGCAAAGGAGTAAATCTAAGTTTAAATCACATTAATCCTTCCATCTCCATTTCCTAAAATTTTATTAATCATCTGTTAAAATCTCCTCACCAATAATCCCTGCCCTTTTGAGTTTTACATTAATATTAATGTTATATTCCCATAGTTATTAACCTAAGGATTTATTCACTGAATTCTAGGACATGTATACTTAGCAAAAGTGGAGATTGCTTTCTATCAGTATTTTCTTCCTTACCATAGGTCTATTGCAAGAATCTTGAAAAGCATCATGGCCTATATGGAGTTTGAAAATATTTAGGGATAAAATATTTCCAAACTAAATTTATTTTTTTTTTATTTTTTTTAAAATTTTTTTTTCAACGTTTATTTATTTTGGGGACAGAGAGAGACAGAGCATGAACGGGGGAGGGGCAGAGAGAGAGGGAGACACAGAATCGGAAACAGGCTCCAGGCTCTGAGCCATCAGCCCAGAGCCTGACGCGGGGCTCGAACTCAGGACTGCGAGATCTTGACCTGGCTGAAGTCGGACGCTTAACCGACTGCGCCACCCAGGCGCCCCTCCAAACTAAATTTAAAACTTAATATGGTTGACACAAATTCCTTGGATTCTGATTATGGCTCTAATTTATGTTGGAAAATCTTTATCACTCAGTGCCCTCGTTTCCTTTTCTGTAAACTGGGATAACATAGTATCTAATTCATGTGGTAATAGTGAGAACTCAGTAAGTTTATGTATGTAAAATACTCAGAAAAGTGGTACAGGTTCACACAGCGTTTCAGTGTGCCATTGCTCTTCCTGAGCTGTCCCCAGACTTAAAATTTCCCTCAATTTTTGTAGTTATTTAGATGTCTTTGTCTAATTATTCTGCTTTTTAAGAGTACCTCAGGAAAATCAAGTATTGTTATATTGTGTTTTCATTTTAATTCATCTCAATGTGTTTCTAATCCTCCTTATGATTTCTTCTTTGATCCATGAGTTATTTAGGAATATATTGTTTGATTTCCACATATTTGTGAGTTCAAAAATTTTTCTGTTAATGATTTCAAATTTCATTCCATTGTTGCCTGAGAGCATGCTTTATATTGTTTATATCCTTCTAAATTTATTGTAATCCATTTTATGGACTAGCATATGGTCTATCCTGGATAATGTTCCATGTGAACTTGGAAAGAATGTAAGTTCTTATGCTGTTGGGTGGAACATTCTATAGATGTCTGTTAATTCTAGTGGTTGAATGTTGTTCAAATCTTCTATTTTCTTTTTCATTTTCTGTCTAGTTGTTCTGCTATTAAAGGGGGCTATTAAAGTACCCCAATGTTATTGTAAAACTGTCTATGGCTTCCTTCAGTTGTGCCCAATTTTGCTTCATGTATTTTGAGCTTCTGTTGTTAGGTGCATATATGTTGTTTTTGTTTTTGTTTTGTTTTGTTTTTTAGTAACTTAAAATAACAAGAGCCAGTTATTATTTTTCACAATTCTTTCAGTTTACTGGACAATTTTGTTTTACACAGTGTTGAGGGAGGCTGCAGTCATCTTGGGTACTCAGTTGGGTAGGATGTTCAAGACAGTTTACTCACATGGTGCTCAGGTGCATATATGTTTATAATTATTATATATTCTTGATGGAATGACCATTTTATTATTATAACATCTATTTGTCTCTAGTAAAAATTTTTGTCTTAAAATATATTTTTTCTGATATTTGCTTAGCAGTACAGTTTGGTTTGGTTACTATTCTTCTGGTATATCTGTTTCAATCCTTTTATATTTTACCTATATATGTCATATATATTTGTGTGTGTGTGTGTGTGTGTGTGTGTGTGTGTGTGTGTGTGTGAGACTTTGTAGACAGCATGTTTGGATCATTCTTTAAAATTTATCCTGCAGGGGCGCCTGGGTGGCGCAGTCGGTTAAGCGTCCGACTTCAGCCAGGTCACGATCTCGCGGTCTGTGAGTTCGAGCCCCGCGTCAGGCTCTGGGCTGATGGCTCAGAGCCTGGAGCCTGTTTCCGATTCTGTGTCTCCCTCTCTCTCTGCCCCTCCCCCGTTCATGCTCTGTCTCTCTCTGTCCCAAAAATAAATAAAGGTTGAAAAAAAAAAATAAATAAAATAAAATAAAATTTATCCTGCAAATTTCTGCCTTTAGATGAAGTGCTTACTCTTTTTATATTAAATATAATTATACTTAATTTTGTAATTTTATATTAAATGTAATTCATGTAGAATTTTTGTCCAACATTTGCCATTTGTTTTCCATCTATCATATCTTTTTCTAATTCCTGTTCCTCTATTATCAACTTGATTTTTGTTGTTGATACTGTTAAATAGGTATTTTCTAGTGTTCTATTTCAATCCCCTTATCTTTTACTATATTTTGGAATTATATTTTTGATGCTTGCCCTGAAGAATACAATTAACATTTTAACTTATAAGTACCTAGTTTTGATTAATACCAATTAATTTCAATAGTATATAAAACTTAACTCCTATGTAGCTCCATTCCATTCCTCTCCTAGAGCCTAGCATCACCCTGTTTCTGTGGAATCTTATGTGGAACTGTTGAGCTTCTAAACACCTCAAAGAGACATTTAACAAGACTGAAGGCTCAGAAGGAAGGAGTCATTTTCTTGCCGTCATTTTAATTTTACCTTGTATCTAGATCATTCACACTTTTTGTGCAAAATCCTAAAGTACCAGTGATGAACGAAAAGTAATTCTCTTATACACTGATCCTTCAGCCACCATTTCTCCCTCCCAGAGGCAATCATTGTTATGAGCTTCTTATATATTTTTCAGGGGTAGTTTAGGCGTACATGAACATAGGCCATATAGAGGATAATTTCTCTTATTAGGGTAAATTTGTGTTTTATTTTTCTGAATTGTAGTCTGCAGGAATCTGAAGTCTTTTGCTAAGAAGAGAGTGAAGAGAGAAGCCGGCTTCAGTGTAATCTTTATTGTCTCCTTAGTCTGTCTTACCCAAATAATATCATCTTTGCATGTCATCAATAAAAGTGGGATTCATTGGTTTTGACTGCTGATCTACTCTTTCGGGAGAAAAGATGATATGGTTATGAGGCTCTAAACTATATGGATCCACACATACAGGAACATGTTGAAATCCTGGCTAGGTCTCTCTATGTTTATAGCAGGAAGTCATGCTATTCTCTGCCATTATCATCATAGAGATTCTCTTCTCATCTCTCCTTGATTAAATCTCTTATTTCCAGTGTCCCACATTTTTCTCATTTTTGGTTTGCTACCTCATATTTGTGAAGCACATAGTACAGTTTCGTCAAAAGAATCAGTACGTGGGAAATATGTTTTTTTGAAATTTTGAACATCTCCAAGTCTTTATTCTAGTCTCTGCTTGATTAATAGTATAGAACTCTAGGTTAGGTCTAATTTTCCTTCAGAATATTGAGCATATGAATCTACCAATCTACCTTCCAGCATTGCTGTTGAGAATTCTGAAACAATTCTGATTCTTAATACTATATATATATATCTTTTTATTTACCTTTTTGTGAGCAAGTAGAACTTTATATTTGTTCTTAATATTATTCCTAACTTCCTAATAATATTCTTAATGTAATCCATTATCTTGGGTGCTCAGTAGGTTCTTTCCATAAAGAAATTTATGTTCTTTGTCTTGGGAAATCCACTTTTATGATTCCTCCTTCTTTCTCTGTTCTGTCCTTCTGAAACTCATTTTATTCAGATAGTGCATCTCCTGAAAGGGTTTTCCAGTTTTCTCTTCTTTTCCATCTATTTGTCTTTTTGTTCTATTTTTTATAGATTTCCCAAATTTGTCTTCTGAGCCTTACTTTTTCTATTTTTTTTCCCTCTAGTGTGTGTATAATGTTTTTAGAAAGAAGTTGAAGAGTTGAAATAAGAATATCTGGAAGTACTAGCATATAGGACAAAAGGCTAGGAAGTGTAATACACATTCATCTTTGTTTCTTTAGATTCCATGAAAAGTGCTTAGCACATAACAGATTCCCAATAAATAAATGGTCACGGAATAAATAAATAAATAAATAAATAAATAAATAAATAAAGCCTAGATTCTAGTCCCAACATCTATTTCTTTCCTACATCATCATCGTGGTATGCCCTGTCTTGGTCTCAGTTTCTAACTAGCAATTTAAGACTACATTTTCTCTCTGTCACTGACAGCTCTAACATTATGTGAGTCTACTAATATAATTAATCTGTATTTTTTGTTAAATGCACACTTTTTAATCCCTGTGACTGTCCATTGATCATGAATATGATTATACAACACACACATACACACACAGATTTTAGTTAAATAAAATTTTTAAATTATCGCATATATAGAATTTACTACACAGGATAAGGAAAAGAATTGAACTCTTTGGTACTTGAAATCCACTAAAAATCCATCCAAATTTATTATGTTTTTGCTAGACCTTAACTATTTAATTCTAGTAGACAAACCTGGACTGCAGTTGGTAAACTGCGTTCTTCCTCGAATAAATTTCAAGATTATTTCTTGTATTATGTATCATACAGAGATCCAACCATCCATATTAGTTCATTAAAATGTGAAACAGTTTCATATAACTCTATTCATTAACCAGGGATCACACATGAAGAATTTTATTCTGACGTGGAAGGGTGCAAAAGTTTTATGTATCTTGACACCAATTAAAGGGAAGCTGTCAAACTTTGTTATACAGGCAATTCATATTTTAAAAAATAGTTTCAAATTAAGTCTTCCAAATCTAGATATCTATACCTTTAAATCAGTCAGGCAGCAGCCAGATCCTTTAAAACCTTTGACTCGATTTGCCAATCCACCAGCTTAAAAAACATGCTTTTCATTCCTTCTTCTAAATAAAAGCAGCCTTGTCTGCACTGATTTCATCATCTCCATTGAAAATGTTTATCTGCCAAATGAAAAAGAAGAGTACAAATTAGAAACACTGATACATCTTCTGACATTATTCATTTAGAAGCTAGTTCTCAAGTTGTCATTACATTTACCACATAAAAATTAGAAATGATTTGTTTGGAGACCTACAGCTATTTCTAGACTCAAGATGTTTGGACAACTGTAGATAAAGTTTCATTATCAGACTGACTAAATATGCTGTAATTATGTATAAATCAGGATGATTTTTGTTCCATGAACTTAAGTTATTAATCTACTCAGGCCAAGCAGCAGGATACCATCATTCTCCAAAATTATACAAGTGTATTTCCCAGCCAAAAATGTAAAAAGCAATGTTTGAAAAGTAAGGTCAAAGATTGGTAGGACAATGCTCATGTTTCCATGATCTGATTGTTTCCATCTTTCTTCTGGTCTGTGAAATCCAGGCTAGCCATGTACTTCCACAAAACCTTGTGTTGCCCTATGTTTCATTAGCACTCACCACAGTTGAAATTATTAGTTAAATGTCTATTTTTTCCAATAAACATTAGGCTAGGGGCCTCTACTATCTTATTCTGTATGTCTAATAACACCATATTAGGTATCACTATTTGTTGAATTAATTAATTAATGACAAATGAATGAAAGAGAGGGAACCTAGCTTATCAGGCTAACAGTTGATTTAGGGAATAGAAGTTGGAAAGTTTGAATGATCCCATATTTTTCAAAATTTTTACATGATGCTAGTTTTTGTTTTTAATTTGCTATGCAAAATGTTATATGCATGGAGTTAACAAATAGAAAAGAAGAATGATGGCATAGGTAGCTGAAAATGTAGATTTTAAGTTATCTAAGTCCTAGGGAAAATCAGAAACACAAAGAAATTCATATTCTGTGCTTAGATATTTAAGAAATAGGATTTAAGAATTAGTGTACTGAAGATTTCTGGACTAATTAGCATCACAATTGATTCAAATGACATATGAGATGCAGGCTCTCAGAACATTTCCCATGTTAATCAGACAAAGAATTACATTGAAATATGAGTTTGCTTTTCCAGTATATCAAAATTTTGTACTTAGGCAAAGACAACATTTTTAAGAACTCATTTTTTAGTATGTAAAATTTTGCTAATTTTGCATTTTGTTTCTTATTAAAGAAGTTTCCTAACGTTTTCTTTTCGTACATTAAGATATTTTGTTTATAAAAAATATGTAATGTTTCCCTGTAGGCCTACAAATATGACTAGAATGCTACATAGCAGTGCTTTAGATATAATCTAAAAAAAAAATGTCCTCATGTGCAACAGCAGAGACCAATGATTCATGAAATTGCTCAATTTTGGGTATATGCCTTCTTATAGAACTAATAGTTTACACAAGAGATTTTCCTTCCAACTTTGAATACAAATGTAAACTCTACTCAGTATGTCAGCATTTGCATTAAAATGAATTTCTTACTCAGGGGAAAAGCTTTAATTAAGTGTATTTAGAAGTTTGGAAATCAGCAACACATCATGGTAAACAATTTCAATGTGTCTCTGCCTACTTGGGCTGGAATAAAACAGAAACAGAAGAGAAAAACAAAAACAAGAACAGGGGAGAGATCTTTCTTGTTCCTGTCAAGAAAACTACTACTTTTTCTGCATCTATGCAGTATACTCAGCTTCCCTCTTCTGGAGTAGAAGAAATGTCCACTTCCTACTAAAAGCTGTTGCTCTGTGCTCAGGATCCCATCACAGTTCACCACTTATGATTCCACTTTTGAGACTCCCCATTTATCCTACATCATCAGTTTCTTCTTTAAACTGGATTTTTCTCCAAAATACAGAACTATACCCTAATATCTCTCATTTGTTTTTTAAAAAAAATTATATAGTTAATATAAATAAAATCCCTTAATTTAAAATCTGTGTCCATAAACTGTCCATGTGTCTTCTAACAATCGCTGTAGTATACATGAAAATGATTTCATTATCTCCTAAGATGAGGTTCTTAACCAAAGTAAGAACGTCCATTACCTTGTATCATGCCTCATTGTTAATTCCTTTATTTTTACCAATCACAGTCTGAACTTACAATGTTTATTTTGATAACTTGTTAATTTAGTTTTTCTCCTCCAAATAGCGTACACCGGCTCTTTGAGGAAGATCCCTTAACTCTTTTGTTCATACTGTATCTTGAGCTCCTAGAAGTGCTCAGAACATAGTGGTTACTTAAGATGTATTTGTTGAATGAATGAAAGACCTATAAAAATCCCTTTAGAAAAATTATGAGTTTCAACCCTAAGTAATGATGCAAATGAGGCAAAATGTCTTGTTGTCATTTGCATTTCTCTAACTGTCCTTCCTTCTTTCTTCCAGATACCTAGTACCCTTTTGCATTTTCACTGTAATATTATTCCCAATATTTTGTCCTCTAGGCAGACACCATTCTCCAAAATAATAACTCATTTCAAAAATCAGTAAATTCAAGTAGCCCATGTACCTTTAGATGAGCAGTAAGAGAAGACCAGCTATTTAATTTAATTAATTCATATTAAGGCAAAAAATTAAGATTCCTATTTTCTTCCCTGCCAGCTTTCTCAAGTGCATCTTAAATTGTTCAAAAGATGGGGCGCCTGGGTGGCGCAGTCGGTTAAGCGTCCGACTTCAGCCAGGTCAAGATCTCGCAGTCCTGAGTTCGAGCCCCGCGTCAGGCTCTGGGCTGATGGCTCAGAGCCTGGAGCCTGTTTCCGATTCTGTGTCTCCCTCTCTCTGCCCCTCCCCCATTCATGCTCTGTCTCTCTCTGTCCCCAAAATAAATAAACGTTGAAAAAAAAATTTTAAAAAAAATTGTTCAAAAGAGCAATCACTGCAGTTGTGGTTGACAGGAAATGAGGCTCTGTCTGATTCTCTAAACATGTTCACTAATTCCTAAGATTTGTGTAAATGTTCCCCCAAAAAACTTTTACCGTTTCTTGCACTGTCATGTAATATTAGCCCTGGACATAGGGACCCATTTTTCTTTCTGCCTCTTTCTTTCTTCGTCTCTTCTTTCCTTCCTTCTTTTCTTTTCTTTTCGCTTCTTTTCTTTTACTTTTTCTTTTCTTTTCTCTTTTCTCCTCATCTCTTTTCTTCTTTTCTCTTTTCTTTTCTTTCTTTCTGGTACTAAACTACTTTATTTGAAGAAATGGTACAGATACCTATTTTCTAAAACTATTTTCATTATCTTTATCCTTCCAAACTTTATTCTCCTGCCTTTTTTATCTCTACTAATAGGAACATCATCTACCTTTTATCGCTCTAGGCACAAAAAGGTTATCAACTTCTCCCACTTCCTACATATTTAGTGAGCAAATTTTCTCAGTCCTACCTGAAAAATAACATGAAATCCATCAATTCACTTTATATATATTCCCACTTGTTCCATCTTAGTTGAGGACCTTTTACTGTGCCTCTAGGGTAAGCCTTCCTCCACATAGTCACTTCTCTACACAGCTGGTATGATCTGGCTAAAATACGAACTTTCAGGCCACATAGAGCACATGATAATTACAAGTAAAACATCAATATTTATTGGGCACTTACACCATTCTAGATGGTATTCTAATCTAAATATTTCACCTGGATAATCTTATTTGTTAACAATAACACACTAAGAAAAAAACAGTACTATTACTATAATAAATGTTAAAATAAATAAAGTAAGGCCTAGAGAGGTTAAGTAATTGTCCCATGCAAATGAAGGGAACCAGGATTCAAACCCAGCTGGCCTGCCTCTGGAGATCACATTATATTTTTTTATTTAAGTTTCAGTTAAAATATATTTGACATATTAAAATTTTTATTTAATTTTTAATTGAAATACATTTGATATATTGTAAGTTTAACATATTGTAAGTTTAACATCGTGTAAGTTTAAGATATATAACCAGGGTGCCTGGGTGGCTCAGTCAGTTAAGCGTCCGACTTTGGTTCAGGTCATGGTCTCATGGTTTGTGGGTTTGAGCTCCGTGTCAGGCTCTGTACTGACAGATCAGAGCCTGGAGTCTGCTTCTGATTCTGTGTCTCCCTCTCTCTCTCTGCCCCTCCCCTGCTCATACTCTGTTTGTCTCTCTCTCTCAAAAATAAATAAATTTAAAAAATTCTTTTTAAAGATAATAACCTATTGATTTATTTATATATTGCAGTATGATTGCCATTGTAGCTTTAGCTAGAACTTCTATCACATCACATAATTATCATTTAATGGGCACACTCTACAACATCCTATTGTTCCCCTGTAAAAAAAAAAAAAAAAAAAAAGATTGTTGTCTCTCATTTCTATTATCATCGATGCACAAAAAACTGAGGCTTACTAAGACTAGATAAATTCCCCAAGATTGCAAATCTAGTAAAATTATAGGGTGACCTGAACTCGGGCTCTTCTGTATTCGCCATGTTGCCCTTCCTCTGCCATGACCCTTGGACTGTCTGGTCCCTAAGATGGCATGGAGAGCCCCATGGACACCCCACTTCTAACGTATTCTTTGATCACTGACTATAGTCTGGGGGCTTTACTAAATGCCTTGGGCTATACATGACAATGTTCAAAAACAGAAAGATGTTATAGGAGAATGCTGAGTATTTCCTTCTTTCCAAATGCCATCCATCAACAGTTTAAAGTCAATTTGTGAGAGCATGAAATTTATGCTATTTTCTTTTGAACTATGAGGAGAAAACATTAATTTGTACGAACTAAAGCATGTGATTAAAGCATGATATTCTTTCCAGTCGTGACTATGAGAAAGGTTTGAAATGAATTGTGGTCTTCACACCACAGTGCATTAATGCAATCATCCCAAGGGCCCGTAACTTGGAATTTTCAATCACTCAAGCACACACATAGGTAGCTATCTGAACTGCATGTAGATTTAGAAACAGCTTTGGTTTTGAGTAAAGACCAAAAGAGGTGCTGAGGGGAGCAGGATGGCTCAGTTGGTTCAGCATCTGACTCTTGATTTTGGCTCAGGTCATGATCCCAGGGGCTTCGACTG